CAATAAGTTAGGCATGCACGTAGCGGACAGACACACAACCATAGGGCTATCTTTTTCTGGCCACATCACTGAATCCAATTTACAATTTCTCCACTTGTAACTTTTCCTTCTCGTCTCTTCTCTATCTGACCTAACACCTGTGCTTTAGCATTTTCCCACCAAGACCTCCCTCATTTAGTGGCCAGTTGCAATTTTGGATTTGTCCTTTCAAGTGTTCTTAATATTTATACTAAACACTCATTCATCATATTTAGTCAAAAATACTAGAAATAAATATTTAACGACGAAGTGAGACATCTTTTTCCATATTTTTCAGAAAGCTTTGTACAATTGAGAGATGAAGGGAGAAATTAATACAGAAAGAGAGAGAATGTAAGAAAACAATTTAATACAAAAAAGAGAAAGCGAGAGGCAGATTGAAAGAAGTTCAAGCAATTAATACGGGAATAGAGAGAGAGAGAGAGAAATAGAGAGAGAGAGAGAGAGAGAGAGAAGTAGTTTTGAAGTTAAAGATCGGACGCGATAAAGAGTTAAGACAATTTCATAAAATTTTAAATGCAATAAAGAAAAAAAACATTAAGAGATGAAGAAGGGGGATAAGAGAGTGAATAGGGAAAACTAAAAGAGAAAAGTAAAATAGAAAAGAAAAGCAATTGATAAACGACAAGATAAAAAGAGTAAACGATTGATATAAGTAACAAGAAGTTGGTAAATTTAATTCACATGAGCATGCGCGTGCAGATTATTGAATTCATTATCAACCCTATCAAAAGAAAAAGGAAAATAGAAATCAACTTAGAAATATTCTTTCTTTATACTTCGCAGTGTCCAGCAACTATTCTATAAATGGGGAAAATTTTCAATTATTTTCGACGACTCAACAAAATACGACAGGCATTCACTTCCTTTTAAATCTGTACTAATTCAGGAAATTCTTGTTCTTAATTGAGATAAAATTCAGACGTTAAATTTTATAACCATACTGATCCTATAATACAAGTACGATTTTTAAGTCAAATTCAATGAAAACTGGACTGCCATGTCTTTTTTTTAATGCCTCCTTTATGCCATATGCCTTTTTTCTTTATCATCTGTGAATTGTCATGGCATCTTGTGAAAGGTAGTGGGGCCATATCGTTGCCATAGTTTTGAATTCAGAGTTGTCCTTACCTTATAGTGAGCCGAAAGATGGCAGTCTGCTTTACCTTTTAACACATAATGGTACAAAGTGATGAAATTATATCTGTTCTAGAAGATTCACTATACAAGCAGACTTCAATTAGTACAATTTAAAAGATCACAAAATTCAATTGAACAAAAATTTGAAAATTAGTTTCCTCAAATAGAATGACTTTTGAGAAGGTTTTTGCAATTCAAATTAATACCCTCCGTTACACTTATACTGGTGCAGTTATTTTTTTAAATTTCATTTTTTTTTTAATGTTTCATGTCTTATTAAAGAGCAACTATTGCTTAGCATTTTATCATTAGATAAGCATATGCCTCAACAAAGAGATTATTTTGTTAATAGTCTGAATAAAATAAGAGCAAAAGACCAAATATTGATATCCAAATCTAACATTCATGTGACAATAATAAATACAAGAAATATGAAATTCTATGAAAGCATGAATTTAAATATTATAAAGTAGAAAGATTAAATAAAAGATCAGATTCAATGACATCTTCCTCGTGAAACTTTATTCGCCAGCAAATTCATTGACCTTCATCTTAATTGAGAATCATGAGGCTATTAAAAAGGAGTGTGATGAAAATATTTTTTAAACTATTTAATCCCAATATAGGCTTGATTATCCCCTAAGATGCAATGGTGTTACTGAGTGTGAGAGAATATGAGAAATTTTTTTTCATTTTTAATTGTGTATAGAGGTACGTTTGGTCGTATGTGTGTGAGCGCGTTTGTGTGTGGAACATATGATACATCACTGAATATATGTGTGAATATACACTATTTCAAATAATGTAAGTTAAGGTTTTCACAATACACTTGCTATAAACCAACAAATATTAGTAAAACTTTCAGGATATCACTTTGCGATTCGGAGAATGTTTTAGAACTTAGAATTATTTTCTGTATTTCTATTGACACGATCATCAATTTTGAATAGATCTTTAATGTTATTACCTACTAGCCCCCAAATTAGTACAACTCCATTCTAAATAGTGTTAACTATTTCCACGAAGGAATCAATCTCTAGTCCATCCATCAGATCCAGATGTAGCTCTACATTTCCCTGTAAAAATGTAGTTTTTCATTCAAATTCCACATGCTGTTTAGTGGCTTACACACACACACACACACACACACACACACACACACACACACACATATATATATATATATATATATATATAGTGGGGGAAATAAATATTCGTACACATGAAAAATTGTATTTTTATAAAATGTAAAAGCCTTAACTAAAACAAATTTTGATACATTTTATGTGTAAAGATACATTTTATTAAAAAATAGTAATAAACTTAATTAATTCTTATTCTAACAGAAATTAATGCATTTTTTTTCATCCTTACTGATGAAAAAAGTATTCGTACAAAACAAAAAAATATATTAACTTAATTTAATACTTTGTGGAATATCCTTTATTGAGTTCAACAGCTACCAGTCTATTCCTGTACGCCTCAACTAATGATTTGCACACATTGAGTGGTATTTTGTCCCATTCTTCTTGGCATATTGTCTTCAAATTCTTGATATTTGTTGGTGCTCTTTTCCCAATTTGAATTTTCAAATATCGCCATAAATTCTCGATTGTGTTCAAGTCTGGGGACTGACTTGGCCATTGTAAGACATCAACATTACTTTCAGCTAACCATTTCCTTGTAGATCTAGCGGTATGCTTAGGATCATTATCCAGTTGGAAAACCCAATCAGGAGGTAGCCGAAGTCTCTCAACAGAACGCATTAAATTGTCGTGCAGGATTTTCTGGTAGCTTTCTGCATTTATCTTGCCATCTCTTATTGATATTCTGCAGAAAAACAGCCCCAACTTATGATACTGCCACCACCAAACTTTACAGTTGGCAACGTGTTCTTTGGTAAGTAGGTTTCACTTTGGTTTTCGACGCTGTTACGAGTTTTAAACCTTGCAATAAAGGAAGCAGTTGTAGTAAAAGGAATATTCAGGTTGTTAGAAATCGTTCTGTAACTGTTCCCATCTTTCCAAAGAGACAAAATGTGTTGTTTTTGTGAAATAGTCAATTCTTTACCTTTAGGCATTATTAGAACCTTCTCATAAGACTAGAAATTGCAGAATGCTCTGATAATGGCTAATAGCATTAACTATAATTACTGATAACATTACTGGAACATTCTAGAATATACTTTTTTCATAATTAATTGATTATTTTATTCTAATAATTGATTTGTACGAATACTTTTTTCACCAGTTAGAATTTAAAAAATGCATTAATTTCTGTTAGAATAAGAATTAATTAAGTTTATTATTATTTTTTAATAGTATGTGTCTTTATACATAAAATGTGCCGAGATTTGTTTTATTTAAGGCTTTACATTTATAAAAAATACAATTTTTTTCAAGTGTACGAATATTTATTTCCCCTACTGTATATATATATATATATATATATATATATATATATATATATATATATATATATATATATATACGTTATTAGCCAATATTCTTAATATTTTGCATCTTTTTTTTTTTTTTCTGTTTACAATTGCAAGAGTAAAATATTTTCTTAATTATTACTTTTTAAAAATGATTCCCCTTTTGGGACACATACCTTTCATAAACGCAAAGTGAATGCGAACAATTGTCGGTTTGTCAAACACATTTTTGGACACTTAGACTATGAAAACTTACGAGTAGAGAAAGATACAAAAAGCTTTTTTATTGTGTAAATCAATTTTTGCTCAAGTACCAATTGTCGATAAGCTACATATTAATATACTGTGTATATATATTTGCATTGGGCAGTGGAACAGGAGTAGAGGTTTATCCCCTGTTTTGTTTAAGATTTGGTTTCTGCTTCCTTCTAAAGTCTACTTCAACTCTATACTTTTAACATCCCCCCCTCAACTCTGAAATTTGATTTACTATTTATTTATTTTTCCTCAATAGAATAAGCTAGCGACTCTCGCCCAGTTTACACTTATCTCTACTCAGGATTTATCTCCCTTGTTTTCAGGTTAGGACTGGGTTTCCAGTTCCTTCTAAAATCTTTTTATTATCTTTTACTCTTTGTATCCCTTTATGTCTTAGTGCCATTATCACCGTGCTTAGGGAGAATTGATTAATATCTATCTATCATATATATACACACTCCTAGGCATGATTGAGTATTTATGCTCACATAAATCAATGTATATATCATCATATAGAGATATATCTCTATCTGCATGCATAGGATACAGAATGAAATGAATGCATTGAACTATCTATAATTTATCGCAAGTTTAACAAGGATATAAAAATTTTTTCTTGGGTTGCAATGCAGAGATATAAATTTTCTCACTGCCATCCAACATAATGCAAGAATATGCTCATCTCTAGCATATATATGCGAGAGATGTAATGAATGTGAACACTGTGTGTATCTCTGTGTGTGTCTCTGTGTGTGTCTCTGTGTCTGTATGTGTCCTCACGTGTACGCGAATATCTTATATTCTTTGTGTAAATATTTATGTTTATCCAACTGGTAAAAGAAACTATACTTTCAGCAGAAATATCACGAACTTTGTGTTTTCTGTTTCTTAAGAAATCAGACTTGGTGTTAATACCTAGTGAAAAGTGAATCACAGGTGAGTTCTACGGCAATTTCAATCAATAACCTTATAAACTGAGAGCAGGGCTAAAAGCCTTTTACTTAAATCACCGTCTGCATTTGTTTTCACTTGTTTTCTTCATATTTCTCTTTATTGCTTTATTCTATTTCTCTTTCGAATCCCTGGATTTACTTCATTCTTTCTATCGATTTTTTCTCTCTTGTATATGCTACTTGTGAGTTTTTCTTTCACATTCTCCTTGCTTTTATCTTCATTTTTTATTCTTGTTTCTATTTTCCTTATTTTTTCGTCACTCTTCTCTCTCTCTCTCTCTCTCTCTCTCTCTCTCTCTCTTACACGTACAATCTCTTTCTATCTCTCTTTATTATTTTATTGTTTTCTATACTTTATGTTTTATTCTACACTACTGTCACCTCTCTTTCTTTCTTTCTTTCTTTCTTTCTTTCTTTCTTTCTTTCTTTCTTTCTTTCTTTCTTTCTTTCTTTCACTCTCACTTGGTCTCTCCCACTACCGACTATTTTCTTTTTATCACCTTCTCTTACTCACTCTCTCTCTCTGTCTCTCTCTCTCTCTCTCTGTCTCTCTTTCTCTCTCTCTTACACATCGTCTCCAATCAGATATGGTTAATCACTCGTTTCTATCAAATTTCACATCTGAACTTTCTACTGGGTGTTGCCTTCTAACAAAGAACCTTCAATTTCATTTTGAGTTCACTCTCATTGCCATCGACTCGCAACAATACCATACAGGTTTTCAAAGCGACACTCTGGTGTGATTATAAAATATTCACACGGTATTCATTCCCTGAGCAACCCATGAGAACAGCAAGACATGTTTTGTCGAAGAAAAATTGTCGGGGAAAAATAAATAAATGTAAATATCGCCTTTACTATATTTAACTGAGAGCGACTTGCTTGAATAATTTGAACTGCTTCTATGTTGTTTATACAGTGTGAGAATAGAAATAAACAGGATCATAACAGTTCTACCGAAACAAACTTAAAATTCAAGCCTGTTAATATTTACAAATTCGGGGAAAGAAATCCAAAACAGCTTCCAAGAAAAAATAATTTTAATGTACCTACTTTTTTTTTATAACCCTCACTTTGACTCTCACCTTATTTTTTATAACCCTCACTTTGACTCTCACCTTTTTTTTATAACCCTCACTTTGACTCTCACCTTTTTTTTATAACCCTCACTTTGACTCTCACCTTTTTTTATAACCCTCACTTTGACTCTCACCTTTTTTTTATAACCCTCACTTTGACTCTCACCTTTTCTTTATCAGTTCCTTTCTACTTCCCTTACTCTGTATTCTTCATTCCTCGATTTCTTACTCTTTCCATCATATTGAAAACAATTTTTCTTACTATTATGTATACTGCTAGTGCATTCATCATTTTTGTTTATTATTATTCATTATATATCTTATTCGTTAGAAAATGATGAATGTCTTCCATATTTATTATATCTGCTACATAACATTTTCATTTTACGATGTTCGCCATTATCTTACTTCTGACGCTTAATGCGTGGAACTTAACCTTTTTCAAAGTGTACACGATTTTATTAAAACCATAGAATTATCCTCTAATTTACTTGGCATTTTACTTTATCAAATAAAGATCTATTAATTTTAAATATTTTTGGGTCATGCATTACTCAGTACTGTAAGTCAGTATGAATATGAATATGAATATGAATATAAATGCATCCCTTTCTAGGCTATGATCACTGATCCTCCAATACCCCCAATTATTTAATATTTGATGCGAAACAGAAGGCTTGTAAAATATTTCAAAATAAAGGACTTAACAATTGAGACAAATTCAACGATATAAGCATATATTACTATGTCTATTAAATCTATCACAGCTACAATTGAAAAGAATCTATCTAAACATAAATTTTGCTACCGCTACTTCTAAAGAATTAAGAACCTTAATTAATACAAAATAAAATAATAATAAGCTAAAATTTGAAGGGGCAATTTACTCTATCACCTGTAATGCCTGCCAAAATGAATACATAGGAGAACATCGAAGAATTTAAATCCACTGCATGCCCAGACAAAAATAATTTAGTTCGATGAAGACGAGACGTGTTACACAATTTTTTCCATTTTTTTTCATTCATTTGCCTATGATAACTGAATGAATTCAATATTTCAAATCATTGTTCAATCTCTTATTTTGTTTCTGAAATAACAATTATTAAATATGGCATGGCTTTAGATTCTTTTCCTCTAAGAATGAATGAATTTATCAACAATTTGCTTATTAATAGAATTCAAATTTACTTATTTTTTATTACTTATTAGTTTATTTTTTTTACGATGGAATAATTTAATTGAAAAATAAACGGTTATAATTTTATGTATTGAGCAAAGTGATAATCACAACAATAAAAAAACAACTTGGATAGCATATCAATTCATAACTTCATTTGTCAATATAATCACAATAAGGCTGAATCTACTTTGTGCAATGATATAAACATTAAATTGGTCAATTAAACTGAATTTCGATATTGCTCTATTAGCTCCTAGCCGTTAGGAATTGTGAAATGAATTTTCTGTTGCCTAAGACTTTCAAGTTATGTATCAATAAGAGCTGGAAAGCAAATGTAGGATTATTGCTAACCGTCCAAACCAGATCTAATTTGGGGGTTACGAAATACAAATTTCAGTTTATCGAGGTACATAATTTATCACTTACGGAAATTTGTAATAATAGTAATGATAATAATAATGTGATGCACTAAAAGGTAAAATTGTGCATCAAAATCATTATTGCGCCGCGAACAGTTGCAGAGACTCTCATAGAAAAAAAACGAAGAACTGAAACGATGGAGATCATAAAGAGTCAGTGCACATTATTTTAGAACACACAAGGTCTTTGAGAATGTTCACCAGATACCTCAGGAATAATAATAATAATAATAATAATAATAATAATAATAATAATAATAATAATAATACATATCTCATGCCAAAAACGAGTAAAACAGATGATTCGAAAAATTATAGGCCAATAACATACATGTCTGTTCACCACGTATAAATTGATCGCTTCTGTCCTGACGAACTATACTCTCTTTTTTTTCGAAGCAAACAACATTCTTCCACTGGAGCAGAAGGGATACAGGAGAGGTTCATATGATTGCAAAGATCAACAACTGATATAGAAAATGATCCTGGAAAATTGCAGGAGACGATGTAAAAATCTTAGCACAGCGTAGATTGATTAACCTAAAGCGTTTGATAATGTGCCACACTCTTGAATCCTTAAGACTTTGGAAATGTATAAAGTCTCCACCGTGATATTAAATTTCCTTAAACGCAGGATGGGAATGTGGAACACCACATTATACGTAAATCACACTAGAGGCACTGCTATCTCCAACCATCTGAATATCCGACGAGGAATTCTTTCAAGGAGACTCCCTGTCATCCCTTCTAATTTGCCTGTCCTTAATCCCTCTTAAGCATGAACTAAACAACAATAGCTATGGTTAAAAACTAAACAAGAAAGTATTCAATCACGTACTCTGCATAGATGATCTCAAACTCTTTGTCAAAGACGACAATGAGTTGAAGGGTCTCCTCAATGTTTCAGTGACGACATAAGTATGGATTTCGGATTAGATAAATGTGCAAAAGTAACATTTAAGAAAGGGAAAATTACAGAAACACACTCAATACATTTAGACTTTCTCTCAGAGATGTGTGTATGTGTTCGTTTGTATGTTTTTTTTTCAACCGATTTCAACCAAATTTGACGCAATTACTGCTAATGGTCCTGCGGAGGTTTTAACGGCGCCAAAAATTGATTTAAGTCAATATTCAAATCAATATTATCGATTTTTTATTTTTGATCGGACGCACGCGTGTGTAATTATGTGCGTTCACTGCACACAAGCAGATATGGACACTTTTTATGTCAGAATTAATAGCGGTAGCATAATTAGAAAAAAGTCGAATTTAAGCGCTTATATGTGAATAAGAAAGGAGAAGAATGGCCATATTTTGGTTTCGGATGTAAAAGTTATAACAATGAAGGATTTCTGTCGCAGCCGAACTTTGCGCTCCAAAAGCCAATCGGATTAGTGATATTAATCACGCATGGCTCGCGCGATGCGTAATGCTTGCTGCTGATTGGCCCATTCCCGCTCCGGGATCATGCGAGATCATGTGTGAACGGGAGGCGGGGGAGCTGTCACGCGTACGCGCATCAAGCATCCCAAATGGGGTAGAAGTTTCATGTAGCCTACTTTTATTTCAGGATTTAACACTCATACCATAGTTTTTAAAAAGGATCTTTTAATGTTTCAATGCAGGCATGCATTACTTTCCATATTTTCTGCATTTGCACAGTAGAGTAAACGTCAAGGCCATTTTAAAAGGGGGTTACAGAGCTACATGACAAATTTTACCAGAAAAATCAGTTAAAACAAGGTGAAACTGCTGCTTTTTAGGTGCTTGTAGCCCATTTAGCCTACTAAAGCATAGGATTGAATTCAGTGAGCAATCACTAACACATTTCATGCCACTTTTAAGCCAAGTGGACAGAATCGGCTCCCCACCCCCAATTGTCTAATTTGTCCAATTCTTCACATTTGATTGCATTTTTTCATTCGAGGGGACACCGGAGGACTGTTATGTCTTTTCATGCCGTTTACGTGTAGCAATAATTTTACTACTGCGCATCGTTGCACCAAAAAGTTCTAGCACATTTTCATCTAAATTGGTGCTACTTAAATGCCTTCATCATCCATCAGTAAACGAAATTAACCTTGCTTCAAATTTTGTTCGTAAGAAGTGTAAAAACGCTTGTATTTTCAACTTTTGATCAATAAAACTACCTCATATCTCCTGGCTGCTCAAAAGTTTGAAAATCCCATTTTCTGATTGGCTTACTTTGAGAGACTGCACTACATCAGTGGTGATGTAAATCAAAAAGGCAATGCCTATTTTGGGATAAGGAACTACATAGCTTTCATATTTATCAATAAAAAACCCGCTTTGACTAACCCAACTGAAGGTTAACCAATCGCGTCAACTGTTCAAGGTTGCTGCGAGCTCATTGGCATGATTGCAAGCGTTTAACCTTGGGCCCATCCAATCATACGTGCGAGCAGTTCTCATACGCACGCGCGTGCCTGTGCGTACGTACGCCACCTGAGTATGTGCGCTCAAACTCAACCGGCCAACAGCCTCTTTATACCATAACTCGCACGCGTGTTCACACTTCTGCGATTATTGTCCCGCACTTGGCTCACTTCATTCGCTTCTTACGGAAACCGCAAGTTGTTGACTACGTATCCAAACTGTTTTTCTTTTACTTCTTAGTTATAACTACATCCGTTTCCGCGTTTATCGAATTTACTTTCCAAATTACCTACTACCGTTTTAGCTTAAGTTGAATTTTTAAACTTCACTTTTTCTGTCTTCGATTCCCTTTTGATACAGTTACATACATTGTGGGGATCCTTTTAACCTTCCTACATTTAGACTACAAGTATTTTTTGCACTCAAAAAACCTAGATAGCTTTTATTACGTTTGCCTTTTAAAAATTGGTTAAAATACCGCCTAAGGGAAGAAAACTTTTTGGACGGCG